ACCTGAAGAATTCACAGAGATCTGATCTACCACGACGACCTTCCTGCGTAGACTCAACTGCGCCATCACAGCAATCGGACTTTGAAATCAAAGTTGTATCCTTCCAGGTTTAATGTTTCGTATTATATATTTGTGCTGACATGTTTGAATTATCTGTCCATTATGCAATTGTTAGGGTATTGAATTCGTGAGCTATGGTTATCCATGTGGGTATATGACTGTGATGCACAAATGCTTCGTCATGATCATGTTCGTCTTACAAATGGGGAATGCAAAAATAAACGTACAAGTTAACACCGTCTCGCTCTAAACTAACACTAACCACAAACCGATGTAACATAAAACTTGCGTGAAAAGGCAATCAGTCCTTCTCTCTCTAATCTAAAACGCTAACCTAAAAACCGAAAAAAACATAAATTAAAACTAAAAGCCTACAGCCTTCTCTTTAAGCTGAATCCCTAACCCAAACCGCAATGACATAAACTTAAAACAAAGAAGGTTAAAACGTAAACCAAAACCGAAAAAAACCATAAATTAAAACTAAAAGCCTACGGCCTTCTCTTTAAGCTGAATCACTGACCCAAACCGCAATAACATAATCTTAAAACAAAGAAGGTTAAAACGTAAATTAACAATAACAACACGACACAAAGAACTAATAATACCGGTAAATTAAAGGGGAAAAAACATCGATGCGGGCAATAAGTCCTCTCCCAAAACCGAAAAAAAACATAAATTAAAACTAAAAGCCTACGGCCTTCTCTTTAAGCTGAATCCCTAACCCAAAGCGCAATGACATAAACTTAAAACAATAACAACAAAGAACTAATAATACCAGTAAATTAAACGGGAAAAAACATCGAGGTAAAGTCGGGCATGTGAAACTGAAATATAATCCTTGGCTCAAGTGATTTTCTACACTTGGCTCAAGTTCTATGAATTGAGTCGGTAGGCCGGCCGAGGCATTGATAGTATTGTTTCCAGGTGAGGGGAACATGCTTTCAATGTCTACGAACTAGCCCGGATATTTGTCTTCAATTCCACCTGGTGTGATGGCGAACTGAATTTTTGCTATGTTTGCACTTGGTTTGATGTTGTCTGGAAGGATGAATAAAACGATTTCTTTGCTACGTTTAGCCTTGGTATTGTCTTTATTTCCATGTGAAGAGAAAACGGAGACACGTTTTTTGTGATATTTAATTCTTATTGTTTGTTACTAAATGTCACCTTCACACAATTACATTCCTAAAGTAGGTTCATAGTGAGTTCTTACTCACCTCATTGTCTTCAAATGAGCCTTGATTGGCGTCACGTTTGCAGAGGCACTTGTTGTGGTGGGGCACACAGGCTCTGCTCTGATGTTTTGATTGTAATGCCTAATCCGAGAGTTTCTGAGTGAAACATGGAAGCCAACCAAGTGGCGGGAATTACGACTGAAAGCGCCAATCGTTGATCGGTTGTTTAATCGCATAAGTGAATGGGATGAGTGAGTCGTGTCAGGTTTAAGCTACCAACCGGCCTTAATCCATGAATGATTGATTGACTCTGTGACCTCAATGCAGAGCTTAATACAAACACTTTTCAATCGCTCGGGCTATATATACCTAGCAGTCAGATACAAGCATCACGGCACTTGTGCTAACATTGTTTGACACAACTCATTGTTGAAGACTTCATTCAAGCCATGGCCTACACACTTTTTAAAGGTCCTGTTTCAAAGCCCGTCCACTTTGCCATCCTGGGACATAGCTTCGTGTGGCGACTTGATCAAGTCTGTCCCCCTTCGCGTGGCATCATCACTTCCGTGCGTGGGATAGGAGGGGCGACTGTCGCTCGGATGAAAGCAGTGGTGGATGCACTTGATGCAGTTTTCCAGGGCATTGTTTTCTTTCAAGTGGGAGAGAACGACGTGTCGGCGTCAACTGATGCTCAGAACCTGGTTGAGGACTTGCTGAATCTTCTGGACTACCTTCGGTGGAAACGGCCGGGCTCCAGAGCAGTGATAGGAAGTCTGTTCCCGAGGGTAAAACCAAGGAACATGACGGTCTCTGCCTACAAGCGGAAGGTGGAGGAGGCGAATCGGCGCTTGAAGAGGATGTTGCGACGCCGTCTGGATGCCACCTATTGGGACCACAGCCAGCACATGAGGATGGGACCTGCACTGTTAGGCAAGGATGGCGTCCACTTGACGTCAAAAGCCAATGCCCAGTTCTGGCTTTCCATTCGTAAGTGTATGTGTAGGTACGTTTAAACGCCCATGCCCTGTCCGGTAGATCATCATTTTATCGTAATTCCAAAACTCAATAATTGTCGTTTCCGCACATTGTGTTTATATACAGCAGTGACAAAAGGGTTCCGCGTGTGAGACAATCAGTGCAAACGGGACTCACAGATCAGTCAAATCTGAGCGCACGGGGCTTAGCTTGGGATGGCTTTAAGGGTGGGAAAACGTGACGACATCCGCACGTGTCGCACATGACGTGAAAGCTAAGACACGGGGCTTTCGATCCATAGTAACAATAAAAGCCTGTGGTCGATGTACGAAACAAAACAAGCATCTGCAGCGTGAAATACTGCCGTAAATCGGGTCAATTCGGGATTAAAAGCGCCCCGGCTTCGAACCCGTTAAAGACAGGTCACTTCTGATGATACCACCAGTTGGCCCTGGGAACCAGCTTCACGTCGATGTGCAACATGTCAATGGGTTGTGTATATTTGTCGTCCACGCGACGTATAAAAGATGATCGCAGAGCAAGGCTCTTTTCTTGGTAAAAAGACATGTCTATATCAGATGGCCAAATGGACGTGGACGTCCAACCAGGTGCCCCACGTCGACCCTGTGACGATCCCAGGTGCCTTATGCACGTGGCAACATTTTCATATATGATATGCGTGCATATGTTTCTTTCTCCGGGTGCGAGACGATTAGTGCAAGCGGGATGCAGAGATCAAACCCCTTTTGATATGAAATCTGAGCTGTTTTGGCTCCCGTCACACGCACGGGGCTTAGCTTCGGGGGGCTTTTAGGGTGGGAAAACGTGACGACACCCGCACGTGTCGCACATGACGTGAAAGCTAAGACACGGGGCTTTCGATCCATAGTAACAACAAAACCCTGTGGTCGATGTACGAAACAAAACAAGCATCTGCAGCGTGAAATACTGCCGTAAATCGGGTCAAATTGGGCTTAAAAGCGCCCCGGCTTCGAACCCGTTAAAGACAGGTCACTTCTGATGATACCACCAGTTGGCCCTGGGAACCAGCTTCACGTCGATGTGCAACATGTCAATGGATTGTGTATAGTCGTCGTCCACGCGACGTTTAAACAACAACACCCACCGTTTCTGGCCCCTGATATAGGGCCAGCTGACGTTTCCAGCTGGTAATATCATCAGTTTGTGTCATAAGCTTGACGCCTGAACTAACTAAAATCATTTTGCGTCGATCCATTTGGCTTTGTCAGAATGTGAAAAGCTTTCGTTTTCAATTTGCTTAAGTAGTGTTTAAAATCTCTTCGCATGACTTAAATGTGTTGTATACGTCTTTCTATGACAGCTATCATTTGTAACCGTATGGATGTCTCGCATCTTAAAATTCCCGTTTTACAATTGTAAAACAGGAATTTTATGATGCGAGACATCTTCTCTTTATAGAGATTCCTTAACGATAAGGGAAGTTTTGACGCTTTTCATTATATCAACATTAATGACATTGTACGGAACTGAGGCGGACAATGTGTCATTATGTCGCTTTCTTATACTGGCACTTGTGATTAGTGTTGAGTGTTGAAAGAGAGTTAAGGTTATTGTCTCTAGTGCCCCTTCAGTATTGAACAGTCCAGTTACTTGGCTCCCTAAGAAGAGGCAGGTTTGGACTATTATACATTTTATTGCTTAATCAAGAGATGTTGACTAAAGCCACACATTTATCAGTTAACAGTTCCACCTGCAGATGGCTGATAGCAGATTCAGATTCCTGACCTTTGATATTTCTAGAACAAATTAAATAAAACCTATGTCTTCCATTAAAAAATAACATTGACGAACTAAAATTCATTGTTCACATTGAATCATACAAGACTGGCATTTGTTTACGTTGTGGTTCATTTTAACTGCTTTGCATATGTTGTATATGACTTACCGATGCTCATGCTGTTGATCAGTGGAATATCTGGTTGAGACACGATTATGCACAGACCGCCGCCATAATGCGGGAATACTCTTCAGAGCGTTAAACAACAAACAAACAAACACAGCATATATGACTCATCAATAACTGCTCCATGGAGTGTAAGGGAGGATTAATGGTCTACACAGCTGGTGGTGGTTGTAGAGCACATTCACATACATTTCCCCTCGCCTGTCATGTTGAAGCAGGCTGAACAACCAAAATGATACATACTGCATGGTCATTTAAGCGACGAGACTGTGTATATATAACCACGCAGAAAATAGAGCCACTGGAAGTATATGGAGGCGGGGTGAGGTGAAATTGGGTTTTACGTCGTGCCTGAGAATATTTCTCTCATATGACGACGTGCATGCGTGTGTATGTGTGTGTGCGGCTGCTTGTACTAGCCCAGACTGAAGCTGGTTTTATAGTTTTAGCCCACTGAGATACCATGCTGCAGTGAAGCATGAATACCCCACTCAGACACATTATACTGACTCCGAGCCGACCAGTCCTTGTTGTACCCAGGAATGCCGAGTGCCAGGCAGGGACCAACAAGTACCATATTTTAACGTCTTTTGGTATGCCGCGGTCGGGGATCGAACCCGCGACCTTCCGCTCTCCGGGCGGACGCTCTAACCACTACACCACGGAGGCGGTCGGAAGTATATGGAAGCCCTGTACATAAAAACATACTAAGCCGCTGTTATAGATGTATGCTTCTCATTATTACATGCATGTTGTAACATGCTGTGTGCCTTTGTAATTGTTTGTGTGTGATCTATATATGTGGATTCAATCAACACGCTGCTATAAATACATACACCTACCATGTCCTTCAACACATCTGAAAGCTATTATGAGTGTGATTATTCTGAAAGTCATTGTGGAGCAAGTAACGCACAAGCAACTGGACCGTGAACATTCAGGGCTAGTTTAATCAATGCATGTGTAAGCCAGCCGGAAACCACGAGTGACCCAGAAACCCGTAAGTTGGTGATTACACAGTTCGGTTTGACGTGGTCACCACTCGTTGTCACTCAGACTATGTCACTATCACCCAGGTATAGTGCAGCTACGACAGTTGGGCTACATAGCTGACGAGGCTTGAATTGTGAACACACCGCTGTTGATGGCTGCACCTCTCTGCCTTCGCTGATATCAAACCTGCAACTCGTCATCCCGACCTGTTTACTCAGGGACATTCTACGTCAGTGGGTTAGAGGATGTTATTTGGGCCAAGGCAATTAGCTGACAAAACACTGAAGCTTACAGTTACTCAAATTTCAGGCAACAACGTAGATTAACAACGGATTTATGAGCCAAGCACTGCACCGTTTGACCGGCTAGCGTCAGAAGCTGCTGCGCTGTATGTCAAGGTAAGAGATTGTCTGTTTCATGCATCAACCGTATTCTAAAATATCTAGTTAGAGTGACTGTGTAAGTTGGGTTATATACCGCTTTTAGCAACAGTCCACCCATTTCACGGCGAGGGGCACATGTAATGAGTTCCACACATTGTACCCGTGTGGGAATCGAACTCGAGCCGTCGGCTTGAGGAGTGGTCGCTTTAACCACTAGACTACATCGCTCACTACATCAGATAGTATTACATGTACAATGTATAAGAGTTGAAACAGTATTGGACAACGGATGCCACTGCCTCATAACAATATCCAGCCTAGCGGTATCGTAAAATTAAATATACAGAGGGGAAAAAATAAGGGATCGCATGTGAGCACAAGTGTTCCATTATTTTTTCCAGGTTTCTTCACAAGCTGTGCGATATAAAACTTGTGAAGAAACCTTGGAAAATAATAAAGGAACACTTGTGTTTTCATATGGTCCCTTGTCTTTTTCCTTCAGTATATATCATGACGCTTACAACGCGAACGTTTTGCTGAAATACCATTGAATCTGCCATGAGCGTAACAAGATGGATGTGGACATAGTGTTGTGTGTGTCAGTCCCTGCTTGATCGGAGTGTTTATATTCTCATGGCGTGAAGGGAGCCCAGAGGAATCCGCCCAACACACCTGCGTCAATTTGAATGCAGCGCAGAGATAATACCAACCCAACCTGCTTCATGCCTACTTTTGCTAGTTCATTATACTCATTTCTAATTCATCGCACAAATTCTTTAAGGCTAATTTACCTTAGTTTACAGTGACGTACAAAAGAAAGTACACGCCTGGTGTTTGGGGATTATTTGAAAAGTGTTGTGATTTTGACTGGCAACTTCGCAATTGGGCATGATATCTGTGGGGTTTTGGCAACATATTAGGAATGTCTGTGACTCATATATCACTGTAAAAACTCTTTTCAAAACATTTACGTCGCTCTTTGGAAAGTAATCCAAAAGCACCGAATGTGTACTTTCTTTTGCACGTCAGTTTAGTAGTATTGTCACGGCAGGTACTTCCACGCGCATGACTCAAAACGGATGGTGCAGATGAAAGGGTGCAACCAGGCATGTTATAATTACGTGTCAAACCTGTGTTCACTTGACACATCAGTGGATGGATATAGACAGGGGGACGGACAAAATCCCTACAGCACAAAATCCCACGAAGACAAAATCCTACAGGACAAAATTTCTTTGGACAAAATCACACACCAAAATGACCAACATAGGACAAAATCCAATTTTTAATTATCATGTTTTCAGGTTTTCAAGATTATTAGCATGTTTTGATTATCATGTTTTCGTGACAGAGGCCAGTGGGATAAGTTGATTAGCATGGTTTGATTATCATGTTTGTGCATTGACAGAAAAGAGTCATACCAAAAGACGTTAAAATATGGTACTTGTTGGTCCCTGCCTGGCGCTCAGCATTAATGGGTACAACAAGGACTGGTCGGCTCGGAGTCCGTATAATGTGTCTGAGTGGAATATTCATGCTTAACTGCAGCATGTTATCTCAGTGGGCTAGCACTATAAAACCAGCTTAAACCGGGGCAAGTACAAGCAGCCACACATACATACACATGCACGTCGTCATATGAGAGAAATATTCTTAAGTGCGACGTTAAACCCCACTTCACCTCCCCTCACCTCACCTCACCTCACCAATACCTAGGTATGAATATACAGCAGTACTACTTGCATTCTAAAATGTGCCATATCTTCGAGCTCACACAGAAATACTATTTACCTACGATGAAGTACCCCCAACCCCCCTCCCATGTTGCAAAGAATGGCTCATCCGTACACTGACATACCTGGCTACCTGGCTACATCACCTTTACACGACAGCAGCTTCATTGGTGGCATATTGAGGTCCATTGTTCCACTCTGTATTCCAGATCTGAGGAGAATGGTGACAGACAAGGACATGGACGGTGGTTGGGCGTGGGTGGTCCTGGCAGCCACAAGTCTGGGAATGGTTGTGGCAGGTACTGCTGCTATAGCAACTGGGTTCCTGCAAGTGGAGTTCCTGGAACATTTTTCTCAGAGTACCAGCTACACCAGTCTCGTGACGTCAACGTTCCTGTGTCTGGAGCTCGGCATGGGTAAGGTTCTCTCCGGAATACGCAATAGTAAGGTGAGTTAAACACTGCTTTCACCAGAGATTGTGTGCGTAAAGCACAACGAAAGCAGTGGATAGGACGCGGGAAGACAGAGGGCTATCATCAAGCCGATTTCAAGATTTCTATGTACTACCAGAGAACCTTAACCCAGATAAAAAAAATGAGCTACATTGAGAGATGTGGATCTTATGTAGAACTAAATATGGTCCAGAAATAATCGTATGTGTTTCCCAGATTGGTTTGCGTTTCTGCTTTTGTCACCATGTCCGCCTCTTTTGTGCCTCTAACCTCACTCGACACGTGAAGATCCGGGTTAAAATTTGTTTTCAGCAACCCATGCTTGTCGTAAAAGGCGACTAACGGGATCGGGTGGTCAGACTCACCGACTTCGTTGACACACGTCATCGTATCTCAATTGTGCAGATCGATGCCCATACTGTTGAACACTGGATTGTCTGGTCCAGACTCAATTATTTACAGACCGCCGCCATATAACTCACTCTAACCTTGCTCCACAATGTTCCGTCATGAGAAGCTTCAAAACTTCCTATTTCTAGGGCCCTTCTCAAGCGTGCTGTGTAACGTGTTTAGCGTCAGAGTGGCAATGATGACGGGAGGCGTACTGATGTCTCTCGGACTCATCATCGCCAGCTTCAGCACCGACATCTTACACCTCTTGTTGGCATTTGGGGCACTGGGAGGTAAACGCTAAATTCATTTTACGAAATATATATCGTTTACAAGGACCAAATGCTACATTAATGCTAGATAATCCCCGATCCGTCATAGACAAAATCTTTGTCTGACCGGGACAAGTGATAAATGCTCAGTGGTCCCAAATGTTTTCTCAAAGCAGGCCGAAATATACTCGTGAAGAAGCTGACTTTGCATGTTTTTGTTCCCATGAATGGCGGTCAGTTAGTGAGGACACCTGGTGTTCGTGAAAGGTAATCCAGCATTCGTCACAAATACATGCAAGGGCAATTAAATTGGAAATAATATCTTATTTTAATGCACAAATAACAAATGTTAACGAACAGTTTGAAATATTTTCTTGCTTATCCCGCAGCCAATGTAAAGGACTTACTATTAGATATTTTTGGGGCAAAGGTTTGGAAGTCAAAGATTTATTCCCTCCATATTGCTGACCCGCCCAAAGGGTTGTAGAAATAATAGCCGAACGCAATATATTATGATAAGAAGGGCTTATATGAATTACATGTATTTTTGTGTCGTTTGCAGGTGCTGGCTTCGGGTTGATATATACGCCACTCAACGTCATACTCGGCCATTATTTTACGCACCGACAACCCTTCGCCAACGGGATCTCGCTCGCTTCGTGTGGTACTGGTCTGGCTGTTGGAGCCTACTTTGTGATCTGGTTGATTGACGCTTATGGATGGCGAATGACCGTGTCAGCATTGGCGTGTGTTAGTCTTCAGTTCTGTGTGATCGGGTGTTTATATTTCCCGACAAAACATACCAAAACGACCCTCTGCTGTACACGCCGTAAACAGATCTGTGGTGAATGTCGTAAACCGGAAACGTGTTTGTGGTTCTTGAAAGATGCAAGATGGTGGATAATGTGCTCGAATTACGGGTTATTGATGATTGGATATGCAATTCAGATTGTTCACTTGCCTGCATATGCAGAATCAGTACACATAGACCACGTTCTCCTTCCAGGCTTATACACAACCTATGGCGTTGTGATTTCTGTAGCCCGGGTACTGTGTGGAGTTTTGTGTAACGACACTACCGTGGACCTCCGGATGGTGTTTTTCAGTACCCAGGCCTTGGAAGGACTAGTCATCGTGTTTATGCCACTATATGCTAAGGACTATGCTGGTTTCATGGCTTATCAGATATTGGTGTCACTTTTCTATGGAGCTAGCCTGGTCCCGTTAACGCCCCTGGTTGTTCAACTGTTTGGAGTTGACCGACTGTCGACAGTGTTTGGTTGGATCATGCTGTGGGGAGGTGCTGGTTCTCTTGCTGGCCCTGTCATCGCAGGTAGGAATGTTGCTTGATTGTGGACATTTAGAGGTTTCAGTGACCTTTAATTATATAAGGCGTGCCGGTCACAGGACCTCGACACGGACGTTCAGAAGCGCATGAACAACACATTGTGACGTACATGCGGTTATAGATTTAAAGAGAGGACTCTCACGTTACATGTTACTATGAATCTCCTTGTGGTCCTAGTGGTCTAGTGGATAGAGAATCTGCCAGAACAGAGTTACCTTCAGCGGTAGGTCGGTGGCCACGTCAGAAGGTGCTAACTGCTACACTGCCTGGCACTAAGCTTATTTGTTGTTTAACGCCGAGCTGAGCAATACTGAAGCCATATGGCGTCCAGACAATCCAGTGATCAACACCATGAGCATCGATCTACGCAATTGGGAAATGATGACATGTGTCAACCAGGTCAGCGATCCCGTTAGTAGCCTCTTAAAGCATGGGTTGCAGGAGACCAATTCTATTCCGCATCTTCATGAGACCTTTCATTTAGCATACAGATGATATCACAAGATCTGGGAGTGAGTATAATATGTCTCAGTGGGGCCCCCGAGTTGCGCTACAGCGTGGCTATCTCCGCTGGTTAGCACTAAGTCCGGATGAGTACAAGCAGCCAAACACACACGCACATGCACGTCGCTAGGAAATAGAGTGACATTAGCCTTACATTACAGAAACAATGCTCGCTCACTTTTTCTTGCAGGCTGGTTACATGACGTCACCCTGTCCTACTCCAGCGGGTTTCACGTAGGAGGTAGGAGGTTTCACGTCTCACTGTTTTGCAAATGAGACTCATGTAGGTCATGTAGGACCTATCACATGTAGGTCATGTAGGACCTATCACATGTAGGTCTGTAACAGAGACAAACGCTTCGTTTTGTTGACAGACATTTCGAACAGATAACTTGAAATCGCTTCATAACTTCAATCTTTAGACTGCAGAATTTATAAAAGTAATATTGTAGTATTTTTCTCTGCTTCCTTTGCTGTGACGGCGATTTGAGTTCGATTGGACGGCGTTCATGCTGCCTTTTACCATACACAGAGTATTATTAGCGCTACTTTATCAATGCTCCGACCAACGGATATGTGGTCACTCGATTTTCATTCTCAACTCCCTGGTGAGCATACAAGCAATTGTGTCTTACAGTTCTATAAAGTCTCATCTCATCCTACCGGGTAACCATTTACTGCTGAATGAAGGGAATATTTCGACCGTGTCAAGGTCACTTGCCCAAGGAAACTTAATCCCCAGAAACTGTCACGAGCAAGCTTTGATTAACGTCACCTGATTGTTTACGTGTGTTTTGCAATGTGTCACAACTTGCTTAGAGTAACTCAATTGAATGTACTACGTATCTAGAGCTATAGTAAATGCATGTCAATCACCCAGAAACGTACTCAAATTGAGTTGTTGATGTGTATCTTTTCGGATTGTCCAATGATGCACTGAATTATTCTGCAGTCATATGCATGTTTCCTCTATCAATTCAACAAGAAAAGATCAGTTTACGAGTATTTTGTATATGGTCTGATGGACCCTAGTACATGGTTTCCACGCAACAGATATCACAACATAATCAAATTATTATATATATCATATTTAGCATTGTGTAATCATAGTCAAAGTACACAACTGACTGACTGACTGAGTTTGGTTTTACGCCGCTTTTAGTGATACAACGCTTGTATATATGTATACAACGTGGATGTAAGATCAAACCTTGTGAAACTGGTAAATGACACAAGTTGGATGAGTAATCAGTGTATTATGTGTTAGCTAACAGTTACTGTAGGTTCGCAATCCAAACGATGGGTCAGATAAGAGACAGCCCAATAATCAATGTTAAGGATTCCTGAATGTTCAGACTGTTGACACTGTTGATTAGATAAAGGTCAGGTTGAAAAATATTCTCATCTTAAACTCGTCGCCCTTTTTGTATATGTACAACCAGCCTAGGTAAAAACTGCCCTGTCTAGAAACTTCGCAAGCGATCAAGCCTGCCACGTTCATTTGACCAAGGGCAGATAACTCCAGTTTGCCAAACCTATCTTGACATCGCTGTTGTCGACTGTTGTTTCATTTTCCATTTGTTTTGAAATCATTTGGTGCCACTGATCATTACCACAAGTACATTTTGTATAACCTTACATGTAACACTTTGATCTATCACTGAATGGGTATCACTGAGTATGTACTCGGCGTAGAATTATGTCGTTTGTTACTTTTCCATCATTACAAATGTATATATGCCATGCCGTCTCTCTGTCGCAGGTTTGTTCGTGATTGTTGCGTCTCTGCTCATTCTGCTGATACCCGGATGTAAACTTGGGACGTTCGAGTCGCAGGAAGATGTTACCATGGAAACACTTGTACATCTAAAAGAACAGCCTGCCAAAAAGTCCTTCCTTTGATCTGTGATATACGCCAGTAAACAAGTCTATCTTATATTGTATATACAGTCACGTATGTCAAAACTGTTTGACAAGGAACCCAATAACAATTTGTCGGTCTTTGAACATCGTTTATTGAAAACTTGGTATTCAGCAACCCATACTTGTCTCCATTAAATCATCCTTGTCGTAAGAGGCGAGTAACGGGATCGGATGGCCGGTCTCGCTGATCTGCTTGATACATGTCATCCTATGGCAATGCTAAAGATGTCAATCCATGGATTGTCCGGTTTTTAATCAATTGTTACAGACCGTTGTTATATAGCTGGACCATTGCAGGGCGCGGCATTAGACTTTAGAGAAGGAAACATAGTGTTGTACAGCCCCGCAGCAATATCCTATTTGTACCACAGTGCCGGGAGGAGACATTCAGCGACCATCGACGGTTCCAAATCGCAGACCAAGACCATTCCATACCCTTAATGGGCTCGTAACAATCATGAAATACACTGGAAAGGACTGCATATATACGTTAACACTGACGTCTGGGTCTTTCTTTACCAAATCGACAGTGGTTGATATTATGCAGTCTTTTTACATCTTATAGTAAAACACATCATAGGTAGACAGTATTCTGAAGTGCTAGTCATGTCACATGTTCTTTATTCTAAGATCTCGGGTTTTACAATGAATCGTTATTTGTCCAATGAAATAACGATTCAGTTTTAAAGGATACATAAAAATTACACACAATGTAAAATCTTTGTTTTGTTCACATCCACGGCCTTTGTTGATATCGGGGATTGTAATCTGCTAACTACTAACTCTGAAAAGGTTAACAGCTCGTGCTACTATGTCTTATAGGGCCCGTAAGTAGGTCACTTCACTTCGCGAGGCTTTAGTACTTCCGGTGACAAAACACGTTTCATACCTTGTCGAATGGTCTCGTGTCTGTCAGTTGACAATAAGGAAGTGATAAACCCTGCAGAAATAACAAATTTCCGATTCAACCATCCCGAAATTAGCCAACTATTACGACTATCAACAGCTGTGACAGCCAAGCACGGTTGTACACTTGGTCCGGTCTAGTAAAGTCATATTTGGCAATCGCGCTATTTTGAACCAGAACTGGTTCTTGAGTATACGCTTGTCAACGGAAATCGGGTACCGGAAGTAAGCTGGGTCCCGTCTCGCATATCGCAAATTGGCAAGCGGAAAAGGGGCCGGAAACCAGCTTAGTACCAGAAGTAGCCCCTCGCGAGACTTACAGGCCCTATTCCAACTTCCAACATGCCAACTGCACGTGGCAGACATGCATGTCAAAATCGTTTAAAACAATAATTATATCACTGAAATGTACAGCGACACACGAACATTTTTCACTGTAAATTTGAATTTTACCCCGACCCCTTTCATGTGTGCACATCATACATAACGCTTGCACGAAACGGGCGTGTTTGAAGGAAATTCATAACACGTTGTGAAGGGAATATTCATTTTCTGAATCCATATTGAGTCAAACAGCTTGGTTCCCGAATAATATCGCATCAAAATGTATTGTCCTATTATAATGTTAATGTTTAGTAATGTGTCATTGTAATTACTTTGAGGTGGTGTTTATTGATTTGTAAACCTAGCTGATATTACAATGCAGCTGTTAAGCAGTATTACATGTTTTGTGCTTTGTTGCTTTCACACTGAATGATGTTTTGCGAATAGAATTCTTGGTAAACTTTTGTTTTAACTTGAGAATAGACACGTAGCATGAGAAGTCATGTACACCTGTACTTTACTTCGTTTTGTTGAATAACTCAGATTAATGTTACACAACATGTGTATAGGTTGTAATAGGGGTTAATGTCGGCGACGTTAGTCGGATGATCAGGGTCAGTGACATGGTTGATGGCGTCCCAGTGACATGGTTGATGGCGTCCCACCAGTGACATGGTTGATGGCGTCCCAGTGACATGGTTGATGGCGTCCCACCAGTGACATGGTTGATGGCGTCCCAGTGAAATGGTTGATGGCGTCCCACCAGTGACATGGTTGATGGCGTCCCAGTGACATGGTTGATGGCGTCCCACCAGTGACATGGTTGATGGCGTCCCACCAGTGACATGGTTGATGGCGTCCCACCAGTGACATGGTTGATAGCATCCCATTGACATGGTTGATGGCGTCCCACCAGTGACATGGTTGATGGCGTCCCATTGACATGGTTGATGGCGTCCCACCAGTGACATGGTTGATGGCGTCCCAGTGAAATGGTTGATGGCGTCCCCCCAGTGACATGGTTGATGGCGTCCCAGTGACATGGTTGATGGCGTCCCACCAGTGACATGGTTGATGGCGTCCCACCAGTGACATGGTTGATGGCGTCCCACCAGTGACATGGTTGATGGCGTCCCACCAGTGAAATGGTTGATGGCGTCCCACCAGTGACATGGTTGATGGCGTCCCACCAGTGACATGGTTGATGGCGTCCCACCAGTGACATGGTTGATGGCGTCCCAGTGACATGGTTGATGGCGTCCCACCAGTGACATGGTTGATGGCGTCCCAGTGACATGGTTGATGGCGTCCCACCAGTGACATGGTTGATGGCGTCCCACCAGTGACATGGTTGATGGCGTCCCACCAGTGACATGGTTGATGGCGTCCCAGTGACATGGTTGATGGCGTCCCACCAGTGACATGGTTGATGGCGTCCCAATGACATGGTTGATGGCGTCCCACCAGTGACATGGTTGATGGTGTCCCACCAGTGACATGGTTGATGGCGCCCCACCAGTGACATGGTTGATGGCGTCCCACCAGTGACATGGTTGATGGCGTCCCAGTGACATGGTTGATGGCGTCCCACCAGTGACATGGTTGATGGCGTCCCACCAGTGTCATGGTTGATGGCGTCCCACCAGTGACATGGTTGATGGCGTCCAACCAGTGACATGGTTGATGGCGTCCCACCAGTGACATGGTTGATGGCGTCCCAATGACATGGTTGATGGCGTCCCACCATTGACATGGTTGATGGCGTCCCAGTGACATGGTTGATGGCGTCCCACCAGTGACATGGTTGATGACGTCCCAGTGACATGGTTGATGGCGTCCCACCAGTGACATGGTTGACCAGTGACATGGTTGATGGCGTCCCACCAGTGACATGGTTGATGGCGTCCCACCAGTGACATGGTTGATGGCGTCCCACCAGTGACATGGTTGATGGCGTCCCAATGACATGGTTGATGGCGTCCCACCAGTGACATGGTTGATGGCGTCCCACCAGTGACATGGTTGATGGCGTCCCACCAGTGACATGGTTGATGGCGTCCCACCAGTGACATGGTTGATGGCGTCCCACCAGTGACATGGTTGATGGCGTCCCACCAGTGACATGGTTGATGGCGTCCCACCAGTGACATGGTTGATGGCGTCCCACCAGTGACATGGTTGATGGCGTCCCAGTGACATGGTTGATGGTTGATGGCGTGGCCCACCAGTGACATGGTTGATGGCGTCCCACCAGTGACATGGTTGATGGCGTCCCACCAGTGACATGGTTGATGGCGTCCCACCAGTGACATGGTTGATGGCGTCCCACCAGTGACATGGTTGATGGCGTCCCACCAGTGACATGGTTGATGGCGTCCCACCAGTGACATGGTTGATGGCGTCCCACCAGTGACATGGTTGATGGCGTCCCACCAGTGACATGGTTGATGGCGTCCCACCAGTGACATGGTTGATGGCGTGACCCACCAGTGACATGGTTGATGGCGTCCCACCAGTGACATGGTTGATGGCGTCCCACCAGTGACATGGTTGATGGCGTCCCACCAGTGACATGGTTGATGGCGTCCCACCAGTGACATGGTTGATGGCGTCCCACCAGTGACATGGTTGATGGCGTCCCACCAGTGACATGGTTGATGGCGTCCCACCAGTGACATGGTTGATGGCGTCCACCAGTGACATGGTTGATGGCGTCCCAGTGACATGGTTGATGGCGTCCCAATGACATGGTTGATGGCGTCCCACCAGTGACATGGTTGATGGCGTCCCAGTGACATGGTTGATGGCGTCCCACCAGTGACATGGTTGATGACGTCCCAGTGACATGGTTGATGGCGTCCCACCAGTGACATGGTTGATGGCGTCCCACCAGTGACATGGTTGATGGCGTCCCACCAGTGACATGGTTGATGGCGTCCCACCAGTGACATGGTTGATGGCGTCCCACCAGTGACATGGTTGATGGCGTCCCACCCGTGACATGGTTGATGGCGTCCCAAAAGTGACATGGTTGATGGCGTTCCACCAGTGACATGGTTGATGGCGTCCCAATGACATGGTTGATGGCGTCCAACCAGTGACATGGTTGATGGCGTCCCAGTGACATGGTTTGATGGCGTCCCAGTGACATGGTTGATGGCGTCCCACCAGTGACATGGTTGTTGGAGTATCTCATCGTATTGACCAATCCATTATTTATCACGGATAGACTCCACACATCACCCCGCCTTCTTATAGCTAGAGTAATGCTAAGTGCGGCATTAAATAACAATCAATTTAGAGAATGACTCTTGTGCTCAAGGAAGTAGACTGCCGGTCAAAAGAAAGTTTACACCTGACAATGGAATTCTACCAAACATTACTAATGTTATATAATGGACTGAAGACTGTGGAGGAAACACTGCAAATGTTATGTCCAAAACACAGCTGTGATATCTGTCGCAAATACCTCACAATATCTTGTTTGCTTCGTTGTCTTCATTGTAGCCGCAGTCAAACACTTCGCCCGCTTGCTTGTTCTTGGTAGGTGTGATCTGGTGTTACTGAAATTAACAGTAGAAAACGTGGAAGTAAATCAGCTGACTGACTGACTGGGGTGATCTAATCGCCAGTCGGGAGCTTACAGTTTCCTGTAACAATAAATATTACAATTGTAGTTTGAATTCTTGTAAGATTCTAGATTACCCGGACATTTCCGTCGTTAATAATAATAATAATATCATTGCTTATGGTAAGAGCGACTAACAGCATCAGGTGAGAGGTCAGGGTCGACTAGACTGATGCATTTCATCTTGTGCCAGGTCATCACGACTTGGTTACTTAATGACGGACATCACATAGCTGGTATATTGTAGCATGTAGTGTCAGAAAAACACACACACACACAGAGACAGAGAGAGAGAGAGTAGGAGAGGGAGGGAGAGACAGAGAGAGAGAGAGAGAGAGGGGAGGGAGAGAGACAAAGAGAGAGAGAGAGAGGGAGGGAGGGAGAGAGACAAAGAGAGAGAGGAGGGAGGGAGAGAGACAACCTAGCTATGTTGGGGTGTTAAGGTTGTATATACTATCTTTGTAGTGGGAATTCATGACTGAGCCTTCTTTAATTCAGCCACTGCACCAAAAATATTAAAGTATCAGCAACTAAATCGATAATTCACGGGATATGCTGTATGTCCTGACGATAAGAGCTGGTAGGAAAAGTTTCATCGTACTCCTTTGAGGACCACACGCGTGATAAAAAATATCCTGTCTGAAAAATACATCTCAGCTAACCCTGTGTTCGTCCCTCTGAAGGTGAGGCTCGGTGACCTGTTCCTTGCATACCTAAACGACTGTCGTTCATTACATCAACCACTGGGTTTCTAACACTCTTGTTCGGCATTACCTTGCATGCCTCGAAGCAATGGCCAAACTGATTTCAACGTGTCCTTGCCGACACCTGACCAAAGTCTACTCGTACGGCGATAGATAATACTTTCACCTTCGTGGCACATATCAAGGTCAAACGACAACCTGCTGATTACACTTTTTGTCTGCCTTGCTTCTTACAGGATCGACATCGTGCAGGTATTTCAATATATTCAGCAATATTTTTATTTTCAATGGTTTTGTTCTTCGGACAAATAATTAGTTTTGAACAGAAGATGGGAATGTTTGACTGGTACTGTCCTTGTGTTCGTTCAGATGAACAATTTACTTGACATTGAACATAGATTTGACCCGAGCCAACACTTGGGTACAACTGTGAAACAAAGTTCGAATGTAAAGTATTAGAGTAAAGATACGTTTGGACATTAAACATTCCGTGTGGCAACGTCTGTGACGTTTACTGAAACATATCCTATAGTTTGCACACCCGCACGCTGTTCACAGCGCCAGACAAGCGGGTAAAGTGTCATTCCTGATTCTGACCATTAGACGGGTTAGAATGATCTTCAGTAACCCATACTTGACGTAAGAGGCGACTAAACGTGATCGGGTGGACTTGGTTGACACTTGTCACCGTATCCGAGTTGCGTAGGTCGATGCTCATGCTGTTGATCACTGGATTGTCTGGTCCAGAATCCATTATTTACAGACCGTCATCATATAGCTGGAATATTGCTGAGTGTGGCTTAAAACTAAACTCACTCACTCACTCCAGATTGTTGAGGGTAATAACATCAACATCACAGATTTGCTACCGGTTGTAATATGTTCCAAATTCGTTCATTATTGCTATAAAATAGTAGGAATGTATAAAGTCGGGTCCTAGTTTAAAAATACAGACGTTTACAGTTAACTATCAATTTAAAATGAAATTGTTTCATCATTGCAACTGATTGATACACCTCATGGTATACATACAATCCCTTCTGTACGGTTGTGTTTTAAGCATACAGTGATATCCACAGGCCACAACAATCTGACAAATGAGTCAACGATTGCAAGAAACGTTTTGTCATATGCATGAATAGAATAGAGTAATACTTTAATGCCTTTTCAGGAATTTGGTACATCAGCAGAGTTACTGACACATCAGAGAGATACAAAACATATTTACATAAATTCATTGATTTAAGTATCTTCACATTTGTACAAGAGATATGGTACTTGGAATAAAGGATGTACAGGCTTTCTTAGTTTTCACAATTGGAATAAGAGGGTGATTGTTGTTTTAGGTTTTAGCAATGGTCCAGTTATTTAATAACCTCAGGCTAATCAATGGTATACTCTGTGAGCAACAATCCATGACGTCGCGACAGGACTACACAGAATCAGCCACATACTGTGACCGATCTATCCATATAAGTGGGTCGTTACATTGTGTATGGCATACAGAGGGATAATTGGCACGAAAATCACGAATTAGTGCCACGAATGCATGAATGTTAAATGTATTTTACATGTAAGTGCGTACGTATATTTGTGTCCATATGCCACTCCCGTGTGTACATCACGATCAAGCCCTAAACATAACCACATCCAATCGGGGTCTGATTCCAAACTTTGGAGACCCACAGCAGTTAAGCTGGCATACGGGAGGGATATTGTCTCGATCCGAGAGCATCCCGATCATGTCGGCAACTTGTCTCAATCTGAGGGCAGAACACCCCATCCCCTCAGCAACTTGTCCCAATCTGAGTGCAGAACACCCCATTTCCTCAGCAACTTGCCTCAATCCGAGGGCAGAACACCCCATTTCCTCAGCAACTTGCCTCAATCCGAGGGCAGAACACCCCATTTCCTCAGCAACTTGTCTCAATCCGAGGGCAGAACACCCCATTTCCTCAGCAACTTGCCTCAATCTGAGTGCAGAACACCCCATTTCCTCAGCAACTTGCCTCAATCTGAGGGCAGAACACCCCTGCAGAACACCCCTCTTGTTCAGGCAAGACCTGGTTGGGATCAATCAGCCAGGAACTGATTATGTATTATAATCTTTACCGCTTGTCTACATACCGGTCGTTGTTTCAGGATGTGGACCACGTTGTGTCTCGTGGCTGGCCTCCTCCTCTGTGTAGAAGCAGCTACGTATGTCATCTTCATCCCAATACATGTCACATTTAGATCGAAGCCAATACCATCATTAGTAGATGTCATATAGGGGCTAGCACATAGTCCTCGAATTACCTAGGGATTTCAGTAATTTTGATTCTGCATGGGTCCCATTTAATACTTACGAAAGGACACCTCTTCCTTATATTACGCGGCAATAACAACTGCCAAAAAGATATGCAATAATGAAAAGACGAAGATAATCTAAGTAAGTTTACAGCAAAAATAACATAATGTTCCTAAATATTTATCTCAAGGGTAAGAGGATAAGACCACTGATAAAGTGCATGGTTATGTTGTGAAGACACCTCCCAACGACAGCAACAACGATCCGGCCGACGCCGACGCCGTTGAGTCTGAGGAATCTGTTCAGGATAGTATTCAGGAGAGAGGACTTCAACGGTGACGGCGTACACTCTCTGTTGGAGTTCGAGCACCTGTGGAGTCTGTCTGACATGGATGGTAACAATTTAGGGACGAGATGTGACGATGGCCCCATGTACTGACACAGACAACAAGTTGTCTTCTTTCCTTCCTAAAAGACATATGAAATGACCAGGTACTCGAGAGTGGGTCAAAATTGTTAAGTCTAACCTATGGTGACACAAACTGTTTTTGTACTCTTAATTTATATGGCGTGTGTTAATATCCTGAGAAAATAATCTTGGGCAAATGACTATATTGGGATGAAATTGGCAAGCAAGTTTCATTTGAAGAAGGGTTGGCTTGCCTTGTTCAGACCCTACAATGTTTGAAGGAAAGACATATTTCGTCATTTGTTTGAACATTTGTTTTAATTTCATAAAGTTTCTGAATCTTTTGCATATTTTAAAATCGGTTAAAGGAGCCCTCATCACCTCTCGTATCTTCATCGGTGCACAGTTCCATTGGCTAAAACATTGGTTGATGATGAAAATCTGAAAATATTTCTCTTCATTTAATATTACATTATACAAAAATTACAGTTCTTTACCACCTACTAGACATTTCCCCGTTCTTACACTTTGAACTCCAACGGAATTAACAATACTTAATTGTAACAGTGATCAGATACAGTTATACCAATACAACTGATATATTTTTCACAGGAGCTTGTGTAGGTCAGTCTTCTCTGATAGTCTAAAACGCTTTGTTTAAGAAATTTTAGAAACGATTGAAGGAATCACCTGCTTCATGCGACATCCTCACTACACCCGATCGAAATCTACTTAATAAATGTGGGATGGGTGAGTCCCTAACGATTATGAATGTAGTTTTTCAATAAGGATGTACTTCAGCAAATCTCATCTTACACAGATCCTTCACTGGTCAGCTCGCCACGATCCGCCATTAAGTCCAACATGTCTATTCATTTCAGACCGCCCCTGAGATAGAAGTTGTGCAGAAATAGATTTTAAGAGAGATCCCGTTTTTAATCATGTATTTCTGGGAAACCACATCGGCATGTTAGTGAGTGAGTTAAGTTTTACACCACTTTTAGCAATTTTCCTGAAAATTCACGGCGGGGTACACCTGAAATGGACTTCACAAATTGTACCCATTTGGGAATCGAACCCGGGTTTTCGGCGTGACGAGCGAATGCTTTAACCACTAGGCTACCCCACCGCCCCACATTGACATGTTAAGGATGGCTTAATACAATAGAGGAGTCGTTTGAAGTCGTCAATTGCTAATGTTCTGGCATAAACTTAGTTCGTAGGTGAAAAGATGTTCAGATGGGCACAAAATGTGAAATCAGTTTCTAATCACTCAGTTACGTAATTGTCACTCGGTTACGTAATTGTCTTAGTTTTAAAACGGACAATTTACTTCATCTATTTGTCACAGAAGCATAATTATGTATCATAGAATGATATGATATTGAGACATATTCCTGTTTCACTAAGTTCTTCGTGAGTCACAACAGGCCAATGTCATTGTAGGTGAAGCAGATCAACATATTAAGGACGAAATACTTTGTCTCATAACAAGGTGACTGACGCCATGACAACTCAAAATGTTCATTCCGAAGTCAATTTAAACATATTATCTGCCCGTGAATGTAAAAGTAACTAAACTTGTCCATCCGAATTGTATCAAGCAGCTAATCTGACAGTTAATGCACAACGAACATCTACCACAATTCTCATAAATCCATACAAAAGATGCTCACATGGACATTAACCTTTCATAGGGTTAAATCAACATACACAAATGTTCATCCGCAGTACATGAACCATCTGTATTAGTGGTACAGTGAGACATGAAGTTATCTCCCTTGGTTCAAGGTGATGGGTCTGTTACCGTGACAGAGTACACTTACTCAGACCAGTTCGGAAAGTTCACCGGTACAGAGTTGTACAAATACTTCGACCATGATCACAATGGCGTCATCCATCTGCAAGAATTACCCAGGATATTCACGGAGTATGATACAAACTGTAAGCATACGAATCAACTTCTGTATTTTAGCTATGTTCGGTGTTTCGATGTTCGAACTGTATATAGGAAACTGTGCTGTGTTGGTAGTAGAGTTGATGTAAAGTTTCTAAGAACGATTCATTGTGTGGTTCCTTTGATAGTAGGTACCAATCCAGCAGACACATTGATATGACCCTTGGTTTATGGGCTCCAAGCATGTGTTTATTATAATGATGGAGACGCCTAAAGCCGATATGGCGTTAGGCCTTCCTACCACATTCAACCGCTGTGAGATAACGGAAATAGTTGTCAAGGTGCTAAGCCCGCCTCAATCATTTACGGATTTTCATCATGTCATTTATTGAATGCTAAATGTTAATTATTTAAATAATGTGGTATTGATCAGTCATCATTAAGAGTGTCAGTTGTTTGCGATCTGTAGCCTGTTTTTATATTGAATCGTCTTCTATAGTTAAACTGTTTTAGATTTTAATCACTAGTTTTAAATTTATATCTGTGAATCTTATAGAATGAAGGTTATATTGCAAATATTGTTATTTTCAGTTGACGGCTGGATCACTGAACAAGAGTTTGTCGACGAGAACATCAGGGTTTGTACATAAACTTATCACTATCCATGGGTGTTAATGCTGTTGTTCTGTAACTGTTTCCGTATATTTGTGTTGCCGTTTATGTAAAAGTCTTAATCGTTTTTGTCAATAATATTCTTATTTCATTATCAATACAATTTATATTAACATATGTTTCTCTGTACTTCCAGATATACAAATTTATCACGAATGACGTTGGTACTGATAACAGTTACTTTGGTGAGCTCAAACACAGCAGTACTTGTTCATAGTTCTTGTAGGATTCAATACATTTATTTCAGTAAACACATTGTCCTTTATCTAGTGGATCGCGCCTCTAGGTTGCTTAACGAAACCTTAACCATCTGTTTTGCTATACAAATATTTTGATAATGTAATATCATTTCTTCGCTTTTCTTTTTAACATTATTAACGTGTTTGCGGTTTTTCAACATTCCTTTGAGGAACAATAACATGTAGTTGATTTTGATGATTCCTGTAAAGCTCGATTTTGTACGCTAGTTATGTATGTATCAGCAGTCGTTCAGAGTAAATGTATGGGCTAAAGATTAACACAGTCCGCAGTAGTCCAACATCCTCACGTTGGTCTGTAAACAATCAAATATGGGTCAGTTAAACACGTGTATGATGTTATATTGTTATGGGGCAGTGTTGTACCTTGTACAACTGTTATTATAGTTACTGAGAAGTTGATATTCCCATAATTGTCTTTATTGCTACAATCACTGGAATATATTTTTAGGATGCTAAATATTAATTAAATCACGTAGCTATGTTGATTTTTTATGGACTTTTGTGTTCAATGATTCAAGATGGGAGGGTTTTATGTTAGACTGGAGATGGGATTAGTTTACCGTTTATCATTATGGAATATGATTCATGCCTTACATTTATAATTTACCTTAATTATGTAAAAAAATAAAAAAATGTAAATATGACATAGAAATTCGAAAAAGGTGTCTTAATTTGTTCACATTGTATTCGGAACACATCCCTTACAAAACGGAAAACCTTGTCCTGACATGTATGTGTTGGAATTAACGTTTACTTTACAGTGTTCTCATTGAAAACAGAATGTTACTTTCAACATGATACCTCATCAGTTACATGTTACAGACTAAAGAGGTGTGACATGGCGCTCTCTGGAGTCACAATGAGTATGAACACTTATGTATTAATCAATATGTTTCAGGTCACCAGTGATTCAGATAAAATAAACGGCATGAGAAACAGTGTTTTTATCATTATGTCACCTTTAATCATCTCACTCTTGGAAACTATATACATTCGTGGGCTAAACACTGGCTTACCCACAACTGTATTGTCTAGCTAGGCTGAATATCCATAGCTTTCAGATTACATTCCAGGCTGACTGACCAGTGACCAAGACAGATATACTAGAGGTCAGTTTTGTCAGAGGGACCCGGGTTCATGTAGTAACCGACAAGGTATAGTATAGACGTCATGACAGACTGGGAGGACATGAGCTGGTCACCAAGACAGATACACTAGAGGTCAGTTTTGTCAGAGGGACCCGGGTTCATGTAGTAACCGACAAGGTCTAGTATAGACGTCATGACAGACTGGGAGGACATGAGCTGACCACCAAGACAGCAATTCCAATAGACGTTCTGAACGGAAAACACCTAAAACTACGGATATAAGAGAGACTGACCTCGCGCTATTTAGATGTATGCATCTGACTTTCTGTGAATTTAGTACGTTCGTGGTCATGGTGAAGGTAACGTAACGTTTGGAGGGTTAATATGTATACAGCATGTCTGATACCAGTGATTCTGTCCCCACTCTCCGGTTACTTGACTCTTAAGACAAGTATTGACTGCCGAGGAGCAAGTCTAGCCAGGATCTTCATGGTGCCTAGAACATATTGCAATACGGCAGTGGAGATTTTTCGTCTATTTGTTGGTGACTGACAGTTGCAGCAGATGATTGAAGCGCTGGTAAAATGTCAATGACGGTGGTTGTGAGAACAGCACTACATCATACAGGTAGTTATTGACACGCTGGGCAAGTTGTCACAGCATGGTCACGTGTTCTGTAGACATAATGACAGCGTTCGAAACTAACGTCAGCCCTTAGGCCCGAAGCCGACTGAAATCCACTCGGACCCACAGCTTTTGTTTTCTGCAGGTCCTTATGTCCGACAGCTTTTATCATCCCCAATAAGGGGCGGTGGGGTAGTCTAGCGGTTGGCTCGTCACGCCGAAGACCCGGGTTCGAATCCCCACATGGGTACAATGTGTGAAGCCCATTTCTGGTGTCCCCCGCCGTGATATTGCTGGAATATTGCTAAAAGCGGCGTAAAACCAAACTCAGTCAGTCAGTCAGTATCATCCCCAATAACTGAGAGTATTATTTCCATGTTCAAATATAGGGTCTACACATTCTGATCAGGACCCACCACTTGGTCCTTAGGGCATGCAACTTTTCTGGGTTAAGGGCAAATACTGCATAATGACAATATTGACTGCCCTGTCACAAGAAACGTGCAACTAACGTCCACGAAGGGAGCGTTCTGATCAAGAAATGCTCAGCACAGTCCTGGCCCAGACAGAGTGAGTGAGTAAGTATGGTTTTACGCTGCGTTTAGCAATATTCCAGCAATACCGCGGCGGGTGGCACCGGAAATGGACTTCACACATCGATGTATCCATGTGGGGAATCGAACCCCGGTCTTAAGGGTGAAGAGCGAAAGATTTTATCACTATGCTACCACCTTCCTGACACGGACATAATAAGTCTACGAATTCTGTCATGAGGAATTCTCCATTTTCTCCCTTCATTTCTTGAGTGGAAGTTTATTTTTCACAACACACATTTTCAGCTCATGCAGTTACGTATCCCCAGTTTCGTGAACTCATAGGTCAATGTTTCACCTGAATCAATCTTAAGAATCCTCAAAATATGTTTCATAGAATTTAGCACAGTTATTCATTTATATTCAATCGAGCTGTGTGACCCGTGAAGGCGACTAACGGGATCGGGTGGTCAGACTCGCTGACTTGGTTGACACTTGTCACCGTATCCGAGTTGCGTAGGTCGATGCTCATGCTGTTGACCTCTGTATTATCTGGTCCAGACTCGGTTATTTACAGACCGCCGCCATATAGCTGGAATATGGCTGAGAGTGGCGTAAAACTAAAGTCACTCACTCACCCGAGCTGTATGTCAAACTACGCTGCGGGCTCACATACTTGTGTTTTTGACGTAACGTCTTCAGTGTTTTGGCGACTGTCTTCAGTCTAGTAACATGTCGGTCGAATACGCAACACCTTCAGGGACATAATAATCACGTAATAACGACTTATAATCTCGTTTTTAGGACTTTCAAAGGACATTATTGCGAGATTTAAAAGTCGTTATAACGAGATTATAAGCCGTTATAACGAGATCATAAGTCGTTATTACGCGATTATTATTATTTTATTTTGGATACGCAAATGTCCTGTCAGGAGATTCGTAGTCGAATACCATTCTCAGGTGCAAACTTTCTTTCGGTTGGCAGTTTACTTTCTTTAGCACTATATTTTTAACGGACGCTGTTACCATGCTTTCTGACTATTTGTATTGTTTGTTTGTTGTTTGACGCCACAGGTAGCAATATTCTACCTATAACAAGGCCGTCTGTAAATATTTGAGTGATTGCTGCACGTTCATCCAGTACGAGGATACGGTACATTGAAGGCGAGGTACCGCGAGGCGCCATCAACCAAGTTACTGAGCCCGACCATCCGACTAACTTCGCCGCCCCCCGCGACAATCTGATATTACTAAGTGTCTTCATTACTCAGACCTCCCACCCGGGTCTTCATAATGAAGGGTTAGCATTGGATAGATGGGAAGTAGAGAGTTGGGGAAAGATCGTATGGGTTGGTTCAAGGATAGTTGCGTTCAAATTGCTTGCTCGTTTGGACGTTCCAGTGAATCTTCGATGATGTCAAGAAATCGGAATACAACTAGTGTGTGTTGATTTTAGATAAAGGATGCAACAACTGTGTACAGATTTATACATTAAATGTACATCTTTCAAAATTGAATTCCACATTACAACCAATTCATCAAAAACATGAGTGAGCCACACGAAGTATAGTACAGGTGTATATATATATATATGACCATCGACGCACATGCTGTCGGCACATGGAATGTCTCGTCCAGACTCGATTACCTACAGACGGATGTCATATAGCTGGAATATTGTAACATGTAGTACAGGTGTATATATATATATGACCATCGACGCACATGCTGTCGGCACATGGAATGTCTCGTCCAGACTCGATTACCTACAGACGGATGTCATATAGCTGGAATATTGTAACATGAGTACAGGTCGATAGACCGCACATGCTGTCGGCACATGGAATGTCATATAGCTGGAATATTGTAACATGTAGTACAGGTGTATATATATATATATATGACCATCGACGCACATGCTGTCGGCACATGGAATGTCTCGTCCAGACTCGATTACCTACAGACGGATGTCATATAGCTGGAATATTGTAACATGTAGTACAGGTGTATATATATATATATCCATGACTCGATTAACATGTAGTACAGGTATATATATATAAATGACATCGACGCACATGCTGTCGGCATTATACCTACAGACGGATGTCATATAGCTGGAATATTGTAACATGTAGTACAGGTGTATATATATATATGACCATCGACGCACATGCTGTCGGCACATGGAATGTCTCGTCCAGACTCGATTACCTACAGACGGATGTCATGTAGCTGGAATATTGTAACATGCGGCGTTCGGTTGCTATTTTAAGGTTGGGGGAAAATCTCTTGCATGACCAAGAGTTCTTTATTTCAATAAATGTACCAAAATGATATACTGTAAAGTGGTTTTGCCTTTTGCTTTTGCAAACTAAATAATAATTTAAATGTTTGTCTGGAAGATAATGGTAGGTAGGAAAGGTTTTCGGGTTCTCCTTTGAGGACCACAAATCGAAAAATATCCTGTCTGTAAAATAAATCTCAGGCAAACCTCTCTCCGTCCCTCCAAAGGTGAGACTCCACTTGGACTGCCGTTCACATCAACAATCAGATTTCCAACAACAATGTCGGCATTTCCTCATTTTCCTTGTAGGTATTTAAGTTCACAAACTTACACAACCAATCTCCTTTCCGACACCTGACCAAATACTACACGCATGACAACAGATAAGACTTTCACCTTCGTGGCACCGATTAAAGTCGAACGACAACCTGCTGATTACATTTTGTATCTGCCTTGTTTCTCACAGGATCGACTTCGTGCAGGTAGGATTTCGTGAATCAGCATATTCTTGTATATTCCCCGGATTAGTTTTTCAGACAAATGATCAGTTTTCAGCAGTACATGTGACCCAGATTTTGCTAAATATATTTTCAAAATACAGTTAAACTGTTTAAAATTGAAATGTTTCTGTGTTCGTTCAAGCGAATTGACTTGACACAGAACGTAGATTTGATCCATGCCAACTTGTGAAGATCCGGGGTAGAATAGGTCTTCAGCAACCCATTCTTGCAACAAAGGGGGACTATGCTTGTCGTAAGAGGCGACTAACGGGATCGGGTGATCAGGCTCGCTGACACATGCCATCGGTTCCCAATTGCGCAGATCGATACTCTTGCTGTTGATCACTGGATTGTCTGGTCCAGACTGGATTATTTACAGACCGCCGCCATATAGCTGGAATATTGCTGAGTGCGGCGTAAAACTAAACTCACTCACTCTTGGTTGCAATGTATTTCTTGACAATTAAGAATGTGAATACCAAGCATTAGAACACAGACAAGTGTTGACAATAAACATCCCATGGGAGAAAGTTAATGTCAGTAACAACACACCAATATAGCTCTCGGACCGCCTCCGTGGTGTAGTGGGTTCGATCCCCGGTCGCGTCATACCAAAAGACGTTAAAATATGGTATTTGTTGGTCCCTGCCTGGCGCTTGGCATTAATGGGTACAACAAGGACTGGTCGGCTCGGAGTCAGTATAATGTGCCTGAGTGGGGTATTTATGCTTCACTGCGGCATGGTATCTCAGTGGGCTAGCACTATAAAACCAGCTTAAGTCTGGGCTAGTACAAGCAGCCGCACATACACATACACACGCATGCACGTCGTCATATGAGCGAAATATTCTCAAGCACGACGTAAAACCCAATTTCACCTCACCTCACCTCACCTCACCTCACCTCACCTCACCATATAGCACTCAGTGTTGCAGTATGTATTATAATCTTTACCGCTTGTCTACATACCGGTCATTGTTTCAGGATGTTGACCAGACTGTGTCTCGTGGCTGGCCTCCTCCTCTGTGTAGAAGCAACTAAGTATGTCATCTTCATCCCAGTACACCTCACGTGTAGATCGAAGCCAATACCATAATAAGTACAGGTCATATAGAGGCTAACACATAGTCCTCGAAATAGTGTTACCTATGGAATTAATTTGAAATGAATTTTCAAGGACACATTGAGTATTTTTAAGGAACCCTGAAATAACTTAAGTTCAGCCATGAGCTATAAAGTAGGAGGGTATTGACCTAGAAACTGAGAATTTTTTTAGCGATCATATGCTCAGGCAAGAGAGACTAAGGCCCTACTGATCGGCCTGTCATTAAGCCTACACGGGTTTGTGATCATAGGCACCGTCCTAGGTGACAAGTTTTAGAAATGGCCACATTGTACACAACTGGAGTATCGAACCTGATTCATCGTCGTGACGAGAAAACACTATGCTAACCAAACGTCCATAACATATTCAGTATTATTTTGCCTCACACATAAATGTCGTTTTCTGACTGGCCCAGTGCTCTTCTATTATGTTCAATGTAGCCCGATTACAAGCGAGTAACATTTTCTATGTTACCCGAAGGGAATGCCGAACTGTGGGAATTCATATGGTACTTCGTGATAGTAATTGTTTATCTCGATGTACGGAAATTACCGATGAAAATCAATGGAAGGGAGATAACTGGCCAATTGCCTTACTCTGGTACTCCTCATTATGATCCGATACCCGTGCTTCGAACAGTTCAAAATTAACATTGAGGATAAGATAATACGTTGTTCACTGGTCCCTTGGGGCCCAAGGGTTGCTGTACCCCTCGTGGCCAGTGGGCAACACTTCAAAATGCCAATAAGATTTTATTTAATGGAAAGGCGAACCTAATTTAAATAGGATAATTACACAAAATATAACATAATGTTCTTAGATATCTATCACAAGGGGAAGAGGATTACACCATTGATAAAATGCATTGTTATTTTGCGAAGACACCCCCCAATGGCATCAACATCGCCAAAGCCGACACCAACGCCGTTGAGTCTGGCTGATTTCTACAGGATATATTTCCACAGAGAGGATTTGAATAATGACGGCGTGCAAACTCTGTCGGAGTTCGAGCAGCTGTGGAGACAAGCTGACCTGAATGGTAACAACTACAGGGCGAGTTGTGATGAAGCCCTAATGTACTGACACATTAATTTGTCTTCTTTCTTTCTCATAGAAGTTATGAAATGATTAATGATTCGATGTCTGTCAAAATGATTCAGATCCTTCATTATGTCCAAAATGTTTATTCATTATCATTAAGTATGATTAGAATTTACTTTGTCTTCCAAGCAGACCGGGGACGGTGGGATAGCCTAGTGGTTAAAGTGGTTCGATTCCCCACATGGGTACAACATGTGAAGCCCATTTCTGGTGTCCCCCGCCGTGATATTGCTGGAATATTGCTAAAAGCGGTGTCAAACTAAATTCACTCACTCACTCCAAGCCGACCAAGCATCTAAATCCAATATGTATCAAACAGCTACGCTGGCAGTTGATGCACAACAAAGATCGACCACAATTCTCCAAAATCCTTACAAAGGATGGCACCTTTCATAAGATAAAGGATGGAGTTTAACAATACAGTTAATCCTCTGAAATCCCCATACAAATGTTTTATCATTCATCCATAGTACATGAAACATCTGTGTTAGTGATAATAATTTGGGAAATGAAGTTATGTCCCTTGGTTCAAGGTGATGGCTCCGTGGACTTGAGAGAGTACACAAGCATAGGACCCTCCACAATGTTAATGGCCAGTGAGGTGTACAAATACCTCGACCATGATCACAATGGCGTCATCACTCTGCAAGAAATACCCAGGATGTTTACGCAGTTTGACACAAACTGTAAGTAAATGAATCAGTTTCTGTCTTTAGCAAATTTATATTTCGATGTTCAAACTGTAAAGAGAAAAATATGTTGTGTTGGTAGAATGTGCAGTTTCTAAATCGAATGTGAAGTCTCTCAGATAGTTGGTCCCAGTCCAATAACCACTCCTGGGCTGTGGGGTAGCCTAGTGGTTAAAGCGTTCGCTCGTCACGCCGAAGACTCGGGTTCCATTCCCCATTCCACACATGGGTACAATGTGTGAAGCCCATTTCTGGTGTCCCTTGCTGGAATATTGCTAAAAGCGGCGTAAAACTCACTCACTCACTCACTCCCATAATCACTCTGATATACATCATTATTGATATATGAGCACCTTGCGTTATAGCAACATCGATGATGGAGAAGTGGTGTTTAAACCATCTCATTTGTCTGAGGGCTGAGATTGTGCTTTGGTCAGTCTTTTATTTTCACCATTTAGCCTGATTGTGTAACCAAATTACTGTACCCTGGATGAAGCAATAACCACGTATTAAGTAGCCGTATTCCAATAGCCCCTGCCTCTTTTTCTGATTTACTTTATTTTCCTCACCGACCACTCTTTTGTCACACTCATTTGTCTTGGTCATACCATTTAGCCTGATTGTGTATTTTATTTTCCTCACCGAACACTCTTTTGTCACACTTGCAATTGGTTACTTTATGAACGCATACGTGAAATATTTGTTTTCTCTATGAATTAATGATATATTCATGTAAGTAACTCCCTGTGCGCATTTGGGTTTATCTGAGGTTATCCGTAAGTTATTCTATATTGTTATATTTTGACATTTTGGTTAGATAATTCATTAACCCGGACATTGGCATTTTGTCGTCTTACCAGTTTGTAGTTTAATACCTATTCTTAACTGCACTGACATTTATTCAGATAATTTAACATTAATTGTAATGATGATGTAGCATGTTGACCAGACTTCTTAGTGAATTCACAGCAAATTATCCGTAAAGACTGAATAGGGCCGCTGATGAATATCAAGATATTAACTCCTGTTGAAATATAAACATTGGTATAATCTAAAATTAGGTGTGGGAGTTTGTGTAAACAAATTTAAAACAATGTTTTGGTGGTTTTTTGTATATTTGTTTGGTTATTGGGTTTGTTTTTTGTTGTTGGTGGTGTTATTTGTCCATTCTATCTTCTTTTTGTTTTGTTTGTTTGTGATTGTTTTTGTTGTTTTTTTGTTAGGTTTTGTTAGATCAGACACAATTTAACACTGGTACACTCTGCATCTTTGAAGATACAGTTGAGTTACTATCAGGATTGAAAATATATGACGATGAGTCACGAGTCCAGTTTCCCATATATGACAACGAATTTACTCATGTTCCAATTCTATAGAACAGTTTAGACTTTTAACACGGCATAATGCCCATGGAATCTTCAGTGCTTTATGAATAAGGGAAAGTTTGCAGCGTAACCTAGTAACAGCTAACAGCTTGTGCGATTCGGGGAAGAAATATTGGTTCCAAGCAGCTCTGTTTGCGGACGACGACACTCCAGACTTGGGACACTCCATCAATGAGATGCCGCTAAACAACACACATCAACAAATACGTAACAGTTTGAATTTTCACACCAATAGTAAGCTATAGAATGAATATTGCAAATATTGTTATTTTCAGATGACGGCTGGATTACTGAACAAGAGTTTGTCGACGAGAAGATCAGGGTACGTACATAACCGTATCACAAAATATCCACGTATTTGTGTTCATATTGCTGTTTATAGAAATGTTTGAACCATTTTTGTCAATGAAAATCTGTATTTCATTAACCATATATGTTTCTCTATACTTCCAGATATTCAATCTTGTCACGAAAAACATTGGTCTGGGCAAGAAGTAATAAATGGTGAGCTCAATGATAGTCCTCAAAGGATTCAATGAGACTTCTTTCGGTATGTACATCCTTCTTGATCTAGTGGATAGCGCGTATGCCTGGAGAGAGATAAGTCCGTAGGTCGATCACCAGTGTCTGCGTTGCTTAACACAACCGTATACCACCTGTTTTGCTATACAAACACAAGTATAATATCATCGCTCTATAATATTGGATCAGTGGATTGTCTGGTCCAGACTCGATTATTTACAGACCGCCGCCATATAGCTGGAATATTGCTGAGTGCGGCGTAAAACTAGACTCACTCACTCACTCTATAGTATTGTTTACGTGTTCACGTATTCGCGTGTACTTCAATACGTATTTGAGTACCATCATGATACGTTGATTACATGGATGGCATGATCCATATCAAGCTCGTTTTCGTACACAAGATAAATATTTATCAGCAGTGGTCATTCAAAGTAAGTGCATGAGCAAAATGCAGCAATTCTTCAGCCTAAAACCCAACATTCAGCAAGTTTAGCTTCATCCCGCTGATCGAACATGGGCCAGGTTAACCTAGTGTATGGAGACGTTTGTTTTCTATGATGATCTGGGTTAAAGAGGTTTCGGTTAGGCTGGATGAGTTTACTGTTAATTATTATGGAATGTTAGCATTACTTTAATTTGTTTACGAACAACATCGTACAGCTGTAATACTGCTGATTATAATCATGCTACAGTCACAATCGTACAATCGATCAGAGATTTCTTATGTATGTGGAAAGGGTTTTGTCGCCTCAACTTAATTATAAAACACAACAAATGAAATACGAAAACGAAAATGGTGCCTATATTTGTTGAGGTTCATAGTGAAGTCGGAACACATCAGTGGCGAAAAGCAAAAGATTAGACATTTCATTTGTTATTTCATTTGCATTTCTACTTTATATAATTTATATGGGAAACAAGGCAAAGCCCATGTCCATTTAACCATGTACTCATTCATATCAAATTGTTATATTCAACGTGATTCACCATCAGCCATAAGCACAATAACAATTGAATTGTAATTGAATATAAAACATTTATATATTAATCAATACATTTCAGGTACCCGGTGATTCTGGTGAAATAAACGGTTTTAGAAACGGTGCTTTTATCATTTATCAGTCAGTCGCTCATGTCGTACATTGAAAATATATATATCACATGTTCTGTTGACATATGACAGTATTGACTGTCTGTCACGTACGTCAGCGAAGGGGTCGTTCTGATCAGTACCTGGTGATACCAATATGTGCTGTTATCAGTGCTGTACACCATGCTGACACAGACAGTTCATATTCTGTCACGAGGGACGGATGTGTAGCCTAGTGGATAAAGCGTTCGCTCGTCAGGCCGAAGAACTGGGTTCGATTGAATTTCCCAACATGGGTACATTAATGTGTGAAGCCCATTTCTGGTGTTCCCCGCCGTGATATTGCTGGAATATTGCTAAAAGTGGCATAAAAGTAAACTCACTGACTCAGTCAGTCAAAAGGAATTCTCAATGAAGCACGTTCCTATATTTGAGTCGAAATGTATTTTTCACAACATTTTCTCAGCACATTCAGATGTCATGTGGGCTTTCCTCGTTTCGTCGTGAAATCATACGTTTTGAGAGTATTACATTAGTTCTGAATCAATATGAAGAATCCGGATGGGATTCAACCCAATACAAGTACTAGAATCTCTACTTTACTGAGAAAGTGTAATCCCAAATATAACATACAAAAAATTAAGCGACAAGTATTTTCAGTGTAATATCTTTATCAATCTCGATAGCGATATTTGTCGACATGTTACTGAAAGGTAAATATTCAAAGAATACATAATTAGTGACTGTCAATTTATCTGAAACATTGACAACATCACCCGAACACAACCACACTCAGAAACAACATGCAAAATGTGTGGCAATGTGCTCCACTCTTCACACATGCACCCTGATCGGTGTAAACCTACCTGTAATCATTCCTCTGGTGCAACAAGCGGGTCCTAACTTCATTTATGGATGATAATGGCCGTCCATGGATTATAATGCCCGATAAAGAGTTGTTAACGATGTTGTTTAGATCAACAACATCCCACATATGGACTGGCCTGCAAGTTCACTTGCTTTGGACATTATTGGAAGTCATGCTTGGGACATTATTGGAAGTCGTGTTTATGGTCTCCATATTCATCCCCAGACTCAGGATGACCTTGAGCAGGCGTTACAGAGAGATTACATAACAGGTTCATTTGGTCAATGCAAAGACGTGTAAAGGCTTGCATTTGTGCCCGTGGTGGCCATACGTGTTACTGAACACTGCTTCACTGTCAAAAACTGACTTGAACCTTAATGTTAACAGTTTGCTCCACCAATGAAGCACATTTTGCACGACTGTTTCACGGGTACATGCATTTGATGATTTGTAAGTCTATTATTGCTCAATACCATTTTATTTCATTTTGTTAATCGTGTCTACATTTGTTTGACCTTTCTATGGCATCATTCCATGATTTGCAATTTCAATAAATGAAAATGTAATGAGACTACAAATTTGCAGAAAAGTTACAGACTACAAAAATAGTTACAAATTTGTGTTGCTTAACTTTTTGTGAGCAGTATATGGTAAATAAACGCATGCGCATAGTAAAGTGCGAATCGCACAATCGTCTCGACTCTGGCAGAGATATATTTGTGGATGTGGACCTTTTCATTCATCAATGTAACGTGAAATTAATTAACTGGGCGCGCTTTCAGGCTGAATCTGAGAATGTAAGCAAACTAATGCCGTCAATGGTGGGACAGTAGAGACGTTCCTCCAAGAGGCAAATATATTGACTCAGGAGAACATTTGAACAATGTTTCTGTATCGTGTATACTTTGCCAGGACTACGGACCTGGGACGGGGTTGTCTCTGCAAAATTTACTCATTTTCTTTAATTGCTAAATAGAAACGTTTTCAAACGTATTACTATATATTCAAGACTTTGTGCATACCATGCTATTCACCGCTATGTTCCACATTAGTCATTATTCCTTTCAGTCATTAATTAGTTATTCATGAACAAAAACTATGGCGTGTTCGTCTGACCTGACAAGCAGAACGGTCACTCATTCATCAGCAACAAAAGACATGTCATTCCTGGAATGCTTGGATACGCCTGATTATGATGCTTCAGTATTCATGACTTGGTGCTGGAAAGTTCTCGGCCTGACAACAGAGAATACGTCTACCCTTGGGGAGACGACTTCTCGACTGTACTACCTAAATTCGGGGGCGGTGGGTTAGCCTAGTGGGTAAGGCGTGCGCTCGTCACGCCGAAGGTCCGGGTTCGATTGCCCACATGGGTAAAATGTGTGAAGCCCATTTCTGGTGTCCCTAGCCGTGATATTGCTGGAATATTGCTAAAAGCGGCGTAAAATCAAACTCACTCACTCACTACCTAAATTTGAGCGATCCGAACATGAGATTAGTTGGTAGGTTGGTTGGTTGGCGCCACACTCAGCAATATTCTAGCTATATGGCGCCGGTCTGTAAATAATCCAGTCTGGACCAGACAATCCAACTGTCAATATCATGAGCATTGAACTACGTAGTTGGGATACGATGACATGGGTCAACCAAGTCAGCTAGCCTGACCACCGATCCCGTTAGCTGCTGAAGACCAATTCTAACCCGGAACCGGATACCGCTTATTTGTCTGTCCTAATGTGGATTATTCCTAGGACACCCTTGTATACCTGGCATATTGCTGACAGCGGCATAAATTAGCATTTGCTCACTATTCCATTGAAATAGTTACAAAAGTTTATGGAAAACAACATTTTCGTATTTTAGCCTTGGTTTCCGTATAATGACAAAACTGAAACTGTGGCCAATCTCCTTATTCAGATATTAGCCGTAAATGACCCGGTATTACCTAAGCTGGGTGTTTCTTTATGAGCTAAACAACAATTGTACACACTAGAGACTGATGTGGTGACACTTTGACGTGAACATGCAATGCATCTGACAAAACAAAGCTTTAGACTTTAGCGTTGTTTTAATGCTCATTCCCGGGACAATTCGAGTCCCATCTAATCACGTATGACGTCTTCTCAGTACATTGATTGCCACGTTTAGTTGACTTATGCCTGACATTACTGGCTTGTAGCCAGCGTCGTAATATAAATCCTGGGAACTCCATGCAGGAAACAAAGCTTGGTAAATCCAGATAATCCCCAGATAGGTTGCCTAGTTCTGATGCTGAGAGTCTGTAATTGCTTTTCATTTGGGAATAATGATGTGTTTTATTTTGATTTGTCTTATATCGTGATATTTGATAAACTGTTTTATTACCCACGTGGTCAACGTATGGGTAGTTGCATACTAATCTCGTACGTCACATAAGTGTCGTATCGCTTTGACCTGTGTCGTAACGACTTGACCTGAGATTCTAACGATTTTATTGGATAACCGATGACCTCTCAATTAGGTCACATTCTGACGTTACTATTTTTCATTCTTAACAAACACGTGAATTCATTCATTCTACAATTTAAATGCATTGTGGGAATGTAAACATTGCGAACGTTGCCGTGTCGCTGTTTAATTATGAGTCGAACTGAGACATTATATCCGTCGAAAAACATAAACGCAATGTTTCCACCAGTGATGTTAGCCGAATGAAGCAACAGGAAACCAAGAAACGGGGTGCCACGGAGTAGTTTACTGTAGGAAGCTGTACGAGGCGATGACAACTGACATGCATCGTGACGTCGGTTACTAAGGCAGTGACGTCATTACAGTGTGACGTCCTGCAAATATTGTACTACAGTACAAAACTCTTCCGCAACCTCTTTATGAAACCGGTTTCGGTTTGAAACCATAAAAATATAAAAAATACGCTATTTTGTCAATTTAATGCATGTAAGACGTGGGTAATAAATATGATACCACACTCGGTCTCATTACATAAGAATTATACGAAACTCGTGACATTCCTATGGTTTCGCTCTCGCTCGGTCAGATACCATAGGAAGGACACGAGTTTCGTATAATTCGTATGTAATGAGACCGAGTGTAGTATTCTCTATTTATTACCCATATGGTGAAACATGACCAGTGTCATATATGCACATGTGCACGTGACGTCAATGAAGAGGGCCGTCACACTTGTTTATCATGTTTTACTGCACACATGTAGTATAAGACAAAGTATTATGGATGTCAACTTCTTGTTTATTCTATACACAACGTTTCTGGGCTTTTCCTTGCCCCTTTGTCAGATGCATATATGTACATGAATAAAACGGATAATGAATAAATAATTTATTGTACTCGAGAAAGTGTGTCATATGACTTATACGAAACTCGTGCAAAATTATGCATTGTATGACACACTTGCCCGTGTAATAATCTCTATTTATGTCATTTTCGAGAAGTATTGAGTAATACCTGGTTACCGTTATATAGATGTAAAACTACACATCATCCATTTAACTAATCCAGTTAAGAGGACCTAACAGAATTGTAAACTGGTAGCTAAAGTTCACAATGACAGATTTCACCTTCAAATCGGTATGTGCCATTTGAATGCAAGATTTCGATCTGTCGAATACGTCACAGTTGCCTAACCATCACCATGACCTATTGGCATCATCGATGAAGGAAGTAGAGTATAGGGACGCATTGATCAGGCAATCACGTGACTGTTAAGAAACACCAGCGGTTCACTGCAGTCATAACATGAAACGTCTGTATTTTGTTTGCAACTCTTTGTCCTGAGTGCTCATGAACCAGATTGATCGGAAAACTCGCGGTTTGGTTGTGTTAATGCACGGACGGGATTCAAAGACTTGTGTGTGTTGGAAGTTCAAGTATAATCATTCTCGGCATGTAGTTCAGAGACGTCCTCGTACAAAGATGCAGGGAATATACGGTTATTATTCAAGATGCTGGCGACATGCCTCTGACTAACTGACACTGCATGTGTGAGAGATGTGACTTTCGGTGCCTCTGGATGATGTAATGGATAACATGACGTCTTTTATCTCACTTGTTAACGTGGACACATCAAAGACGCCGCAGTCTCCCAGCCTCCTTGATCTCATCCTAGCAGTTGGCAGCACGGCAGGTGAT